CACCATTTTATGTTACTCTCTTGTAACACTTATCTTCACCATTTTATGTTACTCTCTTGTAACACTTATCTTCACCATTTTATGTTACTCTCTTGTAACACTTATCTTCACCATTTTATATGGCATTGAGGTGCACGTGCTGTAAAACTTACTAAAACAAAAAGCGTCTATCGCCCTTGTCTGCTTTTATTTATACGTTATTCTTACGTACCACCTCTTAACCTTCGGTCTTTATATGGCATTGTATTGCAAAGTGTCGCCAAACTCTCACTATAACTATTTGATTGAGATTGTTATCACCATCGGTCTTAAGACGGCTACGTATCTTCTCGACATTTCGTCCCCCCAGAACTATTTAATTCAAAGTACCTCTTTACTCAAGTACACTTGGGACACAATCTTGATGGTTCTGAGGCGACCATTTATTGGTGACCGCCTTAGATGCTCTCGACTGTGTCCCAAACAAATCCCAAACATATCGCAAACAATTCACAAATCCCAAACAAATTTCAAACAAATCCCAAACCCCAAACAAATCATAAACAAATCCCAAACAAACCTGTTAAACAGGTCTCTTAGGTGCACGTTTCTCTCTCCGATGAGGATTTCGGCGGGAACTAACGAGTGACCAAATCGGAAGGTGGCTGTGGAGAAAGAGTTGCTGATTCGTGGGTCCACGGCCAGGTTTGGGGTGGATCGGCCGCTCTTGGACACCAGTTTGCCTTGGGTGGCCACGGTTCCCAGGATTATAGGTAGCCAGTCGTTGTAGGTGATCTTCTGAAGGAGAGCTGGGGGGGTCGGGGTTGGGGTGGGTTTAGTTTTAGTAGAGGTTTTACGGCGCTCACAACTGCATAAGGTTATATGACCGCCAGAATATTAGAGCTGTTACAAGAGAGTAACAAACATAAAAAGAAAAAGGGGAGATAAGGACGATAGATGTTTGATGGAAAAGAAGAAGCAAACCACACCAGAACACCCGCCAACCACCCACTTGGCGTGGGGGTTAAGGGGGTGAGGTTGGATGAGGGCTAACGTGTGACACGGAGTTGTAAGATATTGAAAGTAATACATTTTAAAAGCTTGACATGTTAAACACATTTTTGACGTAAAATTTCCCCGAACTAGGTACCGAGGATAATAGTACTTCGTAATTCTAGGGTAGCAACATGGCGCCGAGAGGTGGCAGAGGACACAGGGAGCTTGGGCCAGGGGAGGGGACAGCTGGGTTTAGTTTAGTTTCAGTAGATCTAAAAGGTTTACGGCACTTGCAAGAAAATGAGGTCATGTAAGTGGAGAAGAAAAAAGAAGTAGGCTTAACAGTGACGCCCTCCAGCCACCCACAACAAGAACCATGGTTTGTTGGGCACCCATTATTCAATTGAGAACTGAGAAGATATATGCAAGGTGAATGTAATAAGAAAGGATAAAACTATTGTTTGGAATGTTTCTTTCCTTCACTTACCACCAACAATTTTCCTGGTGAGCTGGAAAATTTCCTCTGTGGAGTCCTGTGGCCGAAGTTTGGCCAGTTCTCTGGCAATCCTGTTGTGTTCTCGCATCCACAGTGTGTGCATGCTGGCCAAAGCAGGATGTTCGTTCACTCTGGAATCTCCTGATGGTGGACACAAAACACACATTGATAGGTTTAGTAGACGCCACAAATTGATAGGTTTACTAAAAGTTCTACGGCACAAGTCTCTGGTTTTACACGACGTACGTACAAGAGAGTAACTCATAGTAAAGAGAGCTACGGCGGGATATTTGCGATTGGAGGAGGTAGGAGTCGCCTGGTTTCAGAGGTAAAATTAGTGGAAAATGACTGCCAAAGTTAAGTTATTTCCTTAGAGTCCATGGAAACAGAAAATTAAACACTTTTTGTGCCTTTAATCAACATTTTTCTGTGTTATCCACACAGAAATGTGTTCTTTAATGGACATAGAAAGGTGTTAGCCAAAAAATAAAAATTCAATAAAAATTCCCAAACCAGAGGAAAACTGCAATTTCCTTCAGTTTCATTATTCTGACGAGTGCATGATTTCCCCACGCTGTCTAAAATATACATAAGTTATATTTTTGGAATCTATCTAATTTCTTTCACGAAGCCCAACATTTTCCTTGGATCAACTATGTCAAAAAGAGTTGATGCTCCCCTGCATCTGAAATATTTCGTGCGTATACGATCAAAATCTACACACTCTGTTGGAATGTGCAAAACAGTTAAATATGTGTTGCATGCCCCGCTGAATGGAGTTTCCTCCCCTTGTAGGTACACACAGGTCGGGTGAACAAACCTGCCAGGAAGCAGTAGTCGTTGGAATTTTCTCGCAGGATGCAGCCTTCGGCCTCATCTGTCGCCTCCGGTAAGAATTTACCTAATTTGGTCTTCAACAGAAAAGCTGAAATATGAGGTAAAAAACCCACATTATTATTTTTTTTCTCAAAAGGCATACTCATAACATAATATTTTATAATGTAAATATATTCATTACAAATATCTCCTGATGTGTCGTCATAGCACCGGGTTGAAAATTTAAGTTTTTCGTCTTATCAGCTTCTAACAATTATGTGAAAACACTTGGATTAAGCCGTCTTTTATAAAGACGATTTGCCATGGAACAGGGAAGTGACACGTTTAGACTCCTTTCCGTTTCTAACTACTGGAATTCATTTTCGCCTTCATTATCTCTCCCCCCCCCCCTAAACCCACAAAATCATGCTACTTTTCAGCTACCATTTTAATATTAGCCAACATTTCATTCAATTTTCAGCCAATATTTTAGCAGTCAGCTCACATTTTAACTTTCTATACCGCGCTCAAATCCCATTTTAGTCAAATACATCTTAGCTTTCACTCCACAATATAGTTTACAACCTCTTTTCAGGTGTTGGGGCGCTTTTAGCTTTCCCTTTTCAGATTTTTGTTTAGTTCGCCAGCCGTTTCAAATTCTCATTTTAATCTCCTCTCCCCGCCTTCGCCTTTCACCAACGTTACTTTTCGAAATTATACATTTTTTGGCTTTATTTTAAGCTCATGTTTCTTTTCTTAGTTCACAGCTTCGCGCCCCAAATCCCTTTCAGAACCCCCATAAGGTAAAACATAGTATCCAGCCCTTCACCGATTCAATAAAACAAAACATCGTAAAATATTACCCAAACAGAAGGGAACATCAAGAAGTGAAAAGTCAGCAAAAAGTGAACATTCACCAAAACATCGTAAATCGTGAAAAATCACCCAAACAACGTTTAACACTTACAATTTGGTTCTCTCAGCTTCTTGAGTAGCTCCTCGGATGAACCGTAGATCTGTGAGCCGTCGATGAATGACGTCACCGAGTTGATCTGCTGACGGGGATCTGGAATAAAAAAATATGTGAATGAATGTTACACCACTATCAACACTGTTAGGTTATTTGAGTGGCGGGACCTCAGCATTTACTATCCTCCCATAGGACTGAGCTAAATAGTTCATAGAGAGTAGCAAACACAGAAAAGAAGAAGAGATAAGGGCAACAGTTGATTGACAAGAAGAAGATTGATAGGAAGGAAGAAGATTGATAGGAAGGAAGAAGATTGATAGGAAGGAAGAAGATTGATAGGAAGGAAGGAAGGAGATTGATAGGAAGGAAGGAAGGAGATTGATAGGAAGGAAGGAGATTGATAGGAAGGAAGGAGATTGATAAGAAGGAAGGAAATTGATAAGAAGGAAGGAGAATACCAGAGCCCCTGCCAACCACCATGAAAGGGTCAACGTTATTCTAGCTAGATAATTCTCATTCTCGTGCTCACCCATAGCGGATCTAAACCATACTCGCTGTCGCCTGTCGTGTAAGTGTTAGATTATTTATTTATTAGTATAGGGTTTTACGGCGCTCGCAACTGCTAAGGTCATATGAGCGCGCGAAACACAAGTTGTTTACTTTCGCAAAAGTTCGCTGCACGATTGGTTAACTAATTGATTCTAAAATGCTAGAATGTTAAAATTTAGTGTAAATATATTTGTGATGTAAAAGAACTCTTATAGGTAACAATACAAATTTTATATAGTACGTTTTCATTTTACAATTTGCCATAAAGGCCAATGGCCTTAATAAAATTCAAAATTTTGCTGGGACAAACGACGGAAAAAATGTCTTGCAATTTCTTGCATTTATAATATTTCCTTCGGATCTCTCTAAAGTCTAGACATTCTGTTAAGATGTGTGTAATGGTAAAATCTGTGTCGCATCCGACCTAGAACAGCTTCTCATCTCCCTGTAGGAGGTATTTGTGGGTCAGGGCCGTGTGTCCGATGCGCAATCGAGTAAAACTGTCTCTTCTGGAGAGAAGAGTTAGAGCCTGTGCACACCGCCACGTTTGATTCATATGTCTCAGTTTTAGTTTTAGTAAAGGTTTTACGGCGCTCGCAACAGCACAAGGTCATAGGAGCGCCAGAAGATTACAGGTGTTACAAGAGAGTAACAAACATAAAAAAAGAAGGGGAGATAAGATAGGTGTTTCGTAGGAAAGAAGAAGCAAACCACACCAGAGCACCCGCCAACCACCAACATAATGTCTCAGTCGGGGCCAGCCTGATTTTTCCTTCTGAGCAAAACAAAACCTACCGTTTTGGCACAATACGGCCGATTCGACTCGCGCTTTGAAAAGCAGAACGTTAGTCGAATACACAGACACAGACCGACACACGGAGAGAGACGAGACACGGAGAGAGACGAGACACGGAGAGAGACGAGACACGGAGAGAGACGAGACACGGAGAGAGA